AAGCATTTTTTTTAATATATGATTTGCATAATTTTTACCCTTAAATTATTTCGTTGTGAATACAACAATTTTACAAATAAATAAACGCACTTGAGCAAGGCTTCGTTGGTTAAAAAAAAATTTTCAAATTTTGTTTTCAATGAAAACAAATTAAATGACCCTTAATAATAGTAATCAAGCAATTAATTTGTTCGAATTGTTTTTATAAAAAGTTCTGTTTTTGCAAATTAAAGTTTCTATGTGACTCATACTTATTTTACTTTTTTTAAAATGTTATAACTCAGTCAATATTGACCCATGAAAATATAAACATATATTTATTAGATCTTTTATAGGCATAAACGAGAGGCGAAAAATTAGAAAAGAATTAAACATTATGTATATTATTTACACAGAGGAGCTTATTCTGAAGAAAAGAATTATGATTTTTTGCAATGCAGATAAAAGTTTCTGTGAATTCATATTTATTATAAATATTTAGTGTTATTCAAATTCGATTCAAATTCTTATAAAAAGGACGCTTTTTTTTCTTCTCTCTCATCCAGAACCAATTCTTTCAAATAAAAAGAAAGACTAAACTATTAATAATAAAATACACTTTCTTAACAAATTTATAAAAATCTCGAATATGCTATTTAAGAAATCTACCAAATTTACTTTTTCTTTCCTCGTTATTCTCGGCTTGATTTTCGTTGGTTTGGTTAATGCTACCCCTGTTCCATCTGAAACAACTGAAAGTGATCTCATTTCATTTCCGGCCAAGAATGTGAAAAGAGAATTTACTCCACATAACGGGACTCTTCAAGAATTTTTTAAACTATTTTATTGCCAAGTTAAACTTGGCGGATTTTACTTTGAATGCGATGATTCATCCACCATCACAGTTTGTACGGGACCAGGCATACTTCCTGATGATAAAATTTATACTATGCAAGTTTACATAGGTCCTTATTTATTTAACGCCGGAGATTTTGTATTCACCAAATTAGGTGAATTTGGGATGGTAATTCAAGGCGTCAAGTTACTACTAGAGGGTCTCTTGGTGGAAATTATTATTAATGGATTGTCTATCGTAAAATACCCTCTTATAAGTTGTCCAGATTGTTTCAATTCTACTTACACGAGATAATAATGATATGACAATATTTTTTTAATTTGCATTTGTATACTAGCAACAAATTTTTACATATCGTAATATTTTTGGTTATTATTTTAATGGTTAGAAAATTAGAGCTTTCAATGTTGATAAAAATGTATTTTGCATTTCATTATAATAAAGATACATAAAAAACATCGACTTTTTTTCCTATGAAATTTCTTCTTTATTAAATTCTTTCAAATAAAAAGAAAAATAATAATAAAATTCAATTTGCTATCTGTTAAGTGGTTTTCACGATACTACGTATTATTAATTATATGTCACATGGGTAATGAATCTTTTAACATAAGTTCTATATTAAATTATACTAAATAATTGCTAGGTATAAATAACAACTAGTCGTTTTATAAATGGCATAAAATAAATACTATTGAAATGTTTATAATTCAGTCAGTCAATATCGTCTACGATCTGAAAATTAAATATGTACATTATTTGTGCAAAAGGACTATTCTAAAAAAAGGGATTATTTTCTCCTAGATATTTTATATATAAAGTTTTAATCTTTGATTTCTGATTTCTTTTTTTAAGAAAACCATTTTTAATTGACAATTTGATTTTGTAAATATGTGATTTTTGATCCAACTTTTTATTAAAGTGAAACTTTTTCTTCTTTCTCAATTATTTCGAATTAAAAGAAAAACAGATTAATAATAAACTATTTTTCATGATAAATAATTTTATATAAGAAAACTACCAAATTTTCTTTTGCTTTCCTCGTCATTCTCAGTTTGATTTTCGACGATTTGGTTAACGCTACTCCTGTTCCAGTTAAAACAAATGAAAGAAGTCTCATTCCATTTCCAGTCGAGAATGTGAAAAGAGTTATTGTTTTTTATCGTACTGCTACTCTTCTTCTTGAACTTCTTGAAATTATTAAACTCGAATTTAAAATTGCGAACATGTCTTTAAGGAGAATGGAATCTTATACTTCTGGTTTATTTCATCACCAGAATTTTTTATGCCTTTTGGTAGTGTCCTTAAATTTCTCTTAGATGATATTAAACTTAATGACGGGGATTATGAAGTCACGGATTTTAGGGCAAAATTTGACTCGATGATTTAACGAAAGCAGGTTTTTTTAATCACTCTTTTGTAGTTAAACTTGGACTTTATCATATTCTAAGTTAGTAATACTTTTTTCGGTTGTTATAATTCTTATGGTTATTAGTTTTACACGATATTAATTATATAACAAATATATAATATTTTTTTTTTAATTTTTAATTGTATGCTGACAACATAACTAATAATTCTATATTAAATAATATTTTTCAGTTGTTCATTGATTCAAAAATGTATAAAAATCATATTAAATTTCGTGTGTAATTTTACTTCGACTTAGCAACAAAAAAAAAAGAGGTATAAAAAATTTTAATATTCGATATAATCAATTCTATCAAATAAAATTGTCATTCTCGTCGATTTAGTTAGTGCCGTATTGTAGTTATAGATATGATATTAATTTTTCATATGAATCTTTTCTTTTTCTTCATTGCTTCCTTTAATTATTCTCTAGTATCATATCAGTAAAGCCAACAATTGTAATTATTATTAGGTTTATAGGGTATTATTTGTTATTTTTATTTTTATTATAGATTTACAAGTTTATGGGTTAGTAAAATTATTGGGTAATGGAACCTTGCATCTAAGCCTTTGATAACTTCTTTCAATGAATTATTTATTTAAAGATAAGATAAAAGATGCAGAATTTCGGCAATTCAGGATATCTACGCGTTACCGAATATGATTGAACCGTAAATATTTTTTATATTATATTTAAAGAATTTACACCAACCTAAAAGAGATGTTAAATAAAAAATCATTCAAACAAAATTAGAAAACAATGTTGGTTTTGAGAAATTATTCAAATGTAGGTGACTATTACATTTTTTAAAGTTCACCAATATGTAAAAACTATTTTTCATTGAAATTTTCGAGCACAAGGTTATGTATTTGTTCTATATTTGTAAATAAAAGTCTCTGTGAATTTTGTAAATATTTTATATTTTTGATTTTTGATTTTTGATTCAACTTAAAATAAAAAGGACTTTTTTTTCTTCTCTCTCATCATCTTTAACTAATTTTTTCAAATTTAAAAAAAAAAAACTAAAAAATCTGTTTTTCTTGATTCTGTTGGATTTTTTTGTCGGATTTGTTGATTCTACTCCTGTTCCAGCAAAAAACAAATGAAAAAAGTCTCAGCTGAGAATGTGAAAAGAGACCATATTTTTTTCATCGTGCTGTTACTCTTGTTGAACTTCTTAAAATTCTTGATCTCTCAATACTCGACCTTCTACCTGGTGCATATATATTTTGGAGTTCTATGCCTTAAAGTAATTACATTACTAGGACTTCTTTATTTTACATAGATGACATTAAACTTTAATAACGGACATTATGGGGCAATTAATAGGTAAAAATCTTAGACTCGATGGTTTTGTGAAAGGAGTCGTTCTTTTAATAATTAAATTAGGGTTAATTAACACAATTACCTATTATTGTGAGTGGACTGCTATTGCTATAATGTCTTTACTTAATGTAGTAAAATTTGATCATATCGTACTAACAAAGTTCTGTAAAAAAATGTTTCATTAAATAAAATTATATTAATTTCATGTCAATTATCAATATATTTGGAAAAACGCGACTTCAAAAAATTATTTTAATATATTTATGTGAAACATTAAATTAAATTCTTAATTCTTTTATTTATGCAACTTTAATAACACACTATGAAGTAACAGATAAGGTTAAACACAGTTTAAATATTTGCTACAAAACATAGAATGTTCTTATCATTATGATTGAGTATTCGATTTATTTAGTGTAACACAAATGATAATAATTACAAGAAAAGGTGAACAAAAGAAATGATTGTATGCAAAAATTGGTATTTACTAAATGATGATGAAATAATGAATAATGAAATAAATAAATAATAATGAAATAACGGAATAATGGAATGAATGTAATATTATAAAATCGTTTCTAAACTTTGTCACATGGAGATGAAATATGCATTATTTGATTCTATTAAATTTTTATAATCTACTTCTAACGTACCAATACGAAGATCGTTTATATCGATGAATTTGATAATTAGTGCTTCAAGAAAACTTAATAAAATCGCCAAACCGAAGGTTCCGAAAAGCAGAAGAAGAATGTACAATAATAAAACGAATACCATGATTTCTTTTGATGGAATAGAATACATATTTAACAAATATAAATTTTCTGAACGAAAGAGATTGGGTAAATGATGTAGGAATTGAATTTAGCGGATTAATTTATGAATTTAATGATTTTTAAAGATGATTGAAGTTGGATAAAATTGAGTGAATATGGATTAAGTTGAGTGAGTGAATATGGAATTAATTAAAATGAATGAATAATTAAATGAATGAACAATATGTGATGATTTTATTTGCTCGTTTCGTTAATTAAAAGTGAGTGAATTTGGATTTATATCTATGTGAAAACCAAATGATCCCAAAAAAATTATAAAAGAGAAAAAAAAAAAGTTACATTTTATATAAATAATTTAGATGATTAAAAATTAATCGTGTAACTAATATATATTATGTATCAAATGTTACGCTGTTCAAAATTAGTTAATCATCGATAATCGTTGGCTCGTTCTTTGAGTAAATTTTTATAATTGGAGCATCAGTAAAATCAGTAAACTTAAATTAGAGTAAGTAGGAAATTTCTTTATCCTTTTCTCCTTTTTAAGCAAAACATAACAAATAAGGTTAAATAATTTGAAAATTTCTGTTTCATGTTTTTTTGAGTATTTAGGTTACCGTTACATAACATAAAATAGTTTAAACTTTAATAGTTACTGTATAATATATAAATAAATCCACACAGTATTTTTAATTTAATTGGTAATTACCTAGAAATATTAAAATAAACTAATATTTTCCAAAGACTAGAGCAATAAAAGATTAATACCCGAAGAGACGTTAATTGAATGTTAGTGTAAAATGAATATATTAAAGAGTTAACACGATGAACACGTTTCCATGAATTACATAATTTTCCACAATCTAGAATCATTCATTCTTTTTTAATTTGTAACTCATTATACCATTATAGCGCATTATACCATTATAGCGCATTATAGTTCATTCAGCATAAATCATGTGAGTAAAGATTTCCTTATTTTTATTTAAATGAGCCTCAAATATTTCATAAATAAATCATTTTCCTTCCCAAGTCATTATTTGAAAATGACATATCGCTCTGATGATGAAATTTCATCGAAGATTTTTAACGACCCAATTCATGTAATATTTTAATCATTACATTGTTATAAATATTTGATTGTCAAATTGAAGTTTTAATGTTTGTAATACTATTATTTTTATTTACAATAATTAAAATAAATTAAAAATAAAATAATTAAAATAAATTAAAAATAAAATAATTAAAATAAACTAAAAATGATTAAAAATAATCAAAAAAAAAAAAAATTAAATTAAAAATAATTAAATTAATTAGGGATATATTAATTTTGAGGATTGGGCTGTAAATTTTATCGACACCCCACAATTCCAAAGATTAAGGAATATAAAACAACTTGGAACTATTTATTATGTGTTCCCTGGAGCATCCCATAATAGATTTGAACATTGTTTAGGTACGATTACTTCTATTAACTTTTCATAACTCTATCTTCTAATATTAAAATTTTTTTTAATCGAAAAGGAACGGCTTATCTTGCAAATTCTTGGGCAAAGAGACTTTTTGAAGAACAAAATCTCGAACAAATTACTTCCGATGACGTTAAATGTGTGACTTTAGCCGCATTATGCCATGATTTAGGTAAGCATTAGTAATCTATTTTTAAATTAATTTGAGTTTAAAATAAAAAAGATTTATAACCAATTTAATTTTTCAGGACATGGACCTTTTAGCACCGTATTTGAAGATCATGTTATTCCGAGACTTACGTATAATAAAATTTAAATTGTTATTACATAATCCATAATGAATTTTTTAATTTATCAAAAATTCTTCTTCTGCAGAGGGAACAACCAATGGAAACACGAAGATAATTCAAAGATTATGTTTGAACACATGTTTAAATGCGTTACAGATGAAAATGGAAAAAATGATGCCGATTTTGACGATAAGGATTACAACATCATTCGTGATCTTATTACTGGTGATGACCCACAAAAGTATATATTAGACAAAAAAAATGATATGATTTGTTTACTATTTGTGTTTAACGATACGTTTATATTAATTTTGAATTTATAAAATACATAATAGTAAAAGAACTTTTATTTTTGATATCGTTGCAAATAAACGTAATTCGATCGATGTTGATAAATTTGATTATCTCGAGAGGGATTGTTATCACTTGGGAATGAAATCCAAGTTTGAATTTTCTCGTCTCATGAAATTCTCACGTGTAATTGATGATCAAATTGCATATCAACATAAAGAATATTTGAACATTTCCGAAATGTTTCATACTCGTTTTTCTTTACACGCTAGAATCTACAATCATCGTGTTAGTAAGTTGACAATTAATTATAAATCTTTTAAAAAATTTTTTTTTCTTTACCAAGTCACCGTCGCCGAATAATAATAATATTATTATTAATTATTGAATTTTTTTTTTTAATAGGCAAGGCATTGGATTTTATGGTAGCTGATGCTCTTTGTGAAGCAAATCATGTACTTAAAATTTCGGATGCAATAAATGATGGGGAAGAATTTCTCAAGCTAAGTGATAACACTTTACACGTTATCGAATATATGCAAGATTCGGTAAGTGAATTAATTGTTCAGATTTTTTTTTTTCCGGAATAATAGATTATATGATTTTATTATTAATTTACTATATGTCAATAGAGCCTAATAAAATCTAAAGAAATTATAAATAGAATACGACATCGAAAATTATACAAATTTGTTGATGAATGTTTAATTCCACGAGAATATCGTTCTCGTCTAAATGAGGTTTATATATTCTTTCTTATCTATTTCTACTTAATTTTTTTTATTAACTGTTGATAATATTTTTATTAAAGACGAATCTCAACAAATCTGAAATAATTCGCCATAAAATTGGTAACGAGTCTATTTCCGAAGACGATATCATTATACATAAGTTTAAGATAAACTATGGTAAAGAAGATCAAAATCCACTCGACTATGTCAAATTTTATGGGAATTCTAAAGAATGTTAGTTTTCCTTTTAAAAAAATTTTTAGTATTTTTTTTTTTTATATAGTAAAGACAATACTAAATTTTCATTGGTATTTTTTTAGCATTTAATTTAAAAAAATCTGAGGTAAGTTACCTAATACCCGAGCAGTACGATGATGAAATTGTAGCTGTATACGCAAAAGACCCAGAAAAGGTAATTATAAATAAAGATCTTTTTGACCATAAAATAAACATTATTAATTACATAATAACAGATAGATAAAATTGGTTATATTTATTTTTAAAGGATAAACCAATTCAGGATGCCTTTCGCGCACTGATGAAAGAATTAAATTTGACAGTAAAATTTAATCAAGGGTGGACAATCCCAATTCGGAAGGAAACACACGAACTTCTTTAATTATTTCATCATTATAATTTATTATATTTATTTACTAGCCAAAAATGATTAAAATAAAAAACGCCAAGAACACATTTGGGCTGATCTTTGCTTTATTCGATTTTGTCACAATAAATACTAAATCTTTTTTTTCTAAATCAAATCTTTTCTTATTAAAATTCTTTTAAAATATAAAAAATTATTACATTATTTTTTTTTTTAATAAATCCGTATGAAAACAAGTGGGACTCAATAATTATTTCATCTAATAATCTTTTTTTTGGATGTCATGTGCGTGATTTCCCTAAACTGAATTTGTTCTATACCATTTCATTTGGGCAAAAACTGGATCTGCCTAATAAATTCCTTATAAATATCTTGAATTATTTTTTTTTGTTTGAATTAAAAAAATGGTTTTCTTGAGTTCAGCCCTCTCCGACACTCGAATAGAGCAAAATAATGGAACTGTTAAAAGTCCGGTTTGTAATTGATATTGTAGTATACACTTCAGAATGTATATATGATATTTAACATTATTATTTTTTAAGGTTTACTCTACTGCCGTTTATGGAACTCGTTGGGCTACTGAACCTGCTCCAAGGTAATTAATTAAAGAACAAAATAATGATCAAAATAAAAAAATTCATAAAAATTTATATTGATTTTTTTTTTATAATTTGATATAAGATATGAAATTCCTGAAGAAGAAATGCCTCCAGAAGTTGCTTATAAGTTAATTAAAGATGATCTCATGGTAAGTTTGCATTATATCAAATTATATCGATTATATACTAAAGAATATTAAAGAATGGAAAAAAATTATTTTTATTTTTTTATGTTCTACATTCAATGTGACCATAGTACTCATTATATTTATAAATTATTTCTTAATGAATTAATCAATAATAGTTGGACGGAAATCCATCTTTAAATTTAGCTTCCTTTGTCACCACCTATATGGAAAAAGAGGCCGAAAAATTGATGAAAGAAAACTTATCAAAGAATTTTATTGATTATGAGGAATATCCCGTTTCTGTTGAATTACAGGTAAATCCAACTAATCATTATGATTATTTGTTATTATTATTAATTTTTTTTTTTTATAAATAAAGATCAATTGATCAAAACTTTATTTTATTTTTTTTTTTTTTTTAAAAAAAAACAGAATCGATGTGTTAATATGATAGCTCGTCTATTCAATGCTCCAATGAATGATCCAAAGGAGGAAGCTATGGGAGTTTCAACCGTAGGATCTTCAGAGGCCATTATGTTATCTGTTTTGGCGATGAAGAAATTATGGCAAAAACGAATGCGAGCAAAAGGAAAACCTACTGATAGGCCAAATTTAGTTATGTCGGCTTCAGGTATTTTATATAATATCTCATTTTTATCTTATTTTTTTATTTTTTTTTTTTAAATGTTTTCATGTAATTGATTAAATTTTTTTTTTTTGATATATAGTCCAAGTTTGTTGGGAAAAAGGTAATAATATTTGATCATTTATTATTATTATTATTATTATTATTATTAAATGATTCTTGAATTGTTCTAATCTTCTAACGGTAAAAAATTTCACTTTAGCTACAAGATACCTCGAAGTTGAAGAAAAATTTGTTTATTTAACGGAAGGAGAATATATTCTTGACCCCCAAAAAGCTGTGGACCTTGTTGATGAAAATACAATCGGTGTCTGTGTTATATTAGGGTAAGTGAATACTGTACATAATTGTTATTTATTAAAATATGTAAGCATTTAAATATTAAATCTTTGATTTATTATAAAAGATCTACATACACTGGTCATTATGAAGATGCAAAAACAGTTAATGATTTATTAATGGAAAAGAACTTAGAGAATGGATGGGACGTTCCAATTCATATTGATGCAGCATCTGGTGGTTTTGTCGCGCCTTTTATTACTCCAGACTTAGAATGGGACTTTAGGCTAGTGAAATAAATTGAATAAATTGAATAGATTAAATTATTTAATATTTTTTTTAAAATATTTTAATATTCTTATAATTTTAGACTTCCATTAGTACGTTCAATCAATGTATCCGGACATAAGTATGGATTATGTTATGCAGGAATTGGATGGGGAATTTGGAGGTCAGCTAAATATTTACCTGAAGAATTAATTTTTACTGTAAATTATCTTGGATGTGATCAAGTAAGATTTATTTCATTTTATTCTTTCGTAAATTTACATCAATTTCCTCAATTTTCCTTAATTTCCTTAATTTCCTTAAATTTTTATTAATTGTTCTCGAATTTTATTTTGGAAATAAATATATATATACATATATATTTATCTATCTATCTAGGCTTCATTCACTCTAAATTTCTCTAAAGGTGCCTCCCACGTAATTGCTCAATATTATGTATTAATTCGTCTTGGACGTGTTGGATTCACTGCAATCATGAGAAATTTAATGAATACTTCATCAATTCTTGCTACTAAATTAGAAGAAACAGGTAAATTTAAGATAATAAGTGATCGTAATGGAAATGGGCTACCACTTGTTGCCTTCAAACTTTCTGCTAAAGAAGTACATTATGATGAGGTAAGAACTTTATTGTTTTTATTTTATTTTTTTTTTTTACATATTTATATGTTTCTCTTTACATTATAATTAATATAATTAATAGTTTGATGTTGCGAAAAAACTTCGAGAACGTGGATGGATAGTTCCAGCTTATACGATGGCACCAAATACTGAGCATATTAAAGTATTACGTATCGTCGTACGAGAAGATTTTTCACGCGAACGATGTGATGTTCTTGTTGAAGATATCATTTCTTGTTTGGAAGTATTGGATCAATTAGATAAAAATTATATTCATAAACAGAGGTAATTTATTTATTATATTATTTTATTTTTAATTTTATATATTAAATAAATTTATTATATAATAAATAATTTAAATAATTTTTTAAATGCATTAGAACTACTGCTTCAAGGTGGGCACTTTTGAGAAATGTCACTAGGTCTTCTTACGTGATAAAGGCACCGGAAAGTCTCAAGACTAGTGGAATTTGTTAATAAAATTCACCATTATATTCATATATTCAATGTATATTTCCAAACCACTTATATAAATAAAAATAAATAATAATAAATTATTAATTTTAAATTTTAAAGAATTATGCATAACAAATAAGTGTTATTCTCTCTCTTGTAAATATTTTGTGACAATTTAATGTAATTAAAAGGAAAAACTTCAATAATTTTCAAAGAAATTTTCAAAGACAAACCGATTTTCCATTCGTTCATTATTTAATCTTGGTAACCATAAAAATGTATTAAAATATATTATGTTCTCTGTTTATAATTCAAAATGTGTATAGTAATAAATTTTACTATAAGGTATTTATGTGAGAAATGTAAAAAATTTTAAATTAAAAAAAAAGAAGTGGGCATAAATATCCTCAAATATCCTCTCTAGAATAGAAACTAACAGTTAATACTTGTACAATTAGTGTTCATAGTGTTACTTCTCTATCTCATCGTCTCATAAAAATTTTAATTTCTATTCACTAGAATTATTAACTATAATTCTTATCACGTACGCTATATTGAAGACTTTTCATATTTCAAAATTTTTGATCAAAAAATAAATAAATTTTTTTTTGTAGATGATTTCTATATTTTGATTATTCACATGACTCATTTCCTAAAAAGCGTTATTTTCTCGTGATTCATTATCCTTTTAACCATAAAGATATTCTTTTTAACAATAACCATAAAAGATCATCTTTTTAGAAATTTAGGAAAAATACTGTGTAAATGAATTTATCTTTACAACAAATAATTCGAGGTTGTCAACTTGCCTGGTTGGGTTCAGTTCTTGCTTTTGAAAATCGTCATTTATATAAACATAGTTATGTAAAGACATTCGGGTACCTTGTAGGAGCTAGTATTATACTTTATCTAGTAACTTCTACCATTTTATTAATACCTTTGAAAATATTACAACTTTTTCTTTACCTTTTCTCCTCTGATCATAATAATCATAAGTTTTTAGAAAATACTAATTCCTGGCTCATCAATTATGTATTTAATTTACCTTTCTTGGGTCTTTTATTCATAAGATATATTTACCCTGAAACTTTAGATTCTTTATTCATTGAATCACTTCGTAATGTTGATTTTGAACATATAAAAAAACATAAAGAAGGTGATGAAGATGAATTACGACCCCCTTATGCTCCAGCATTGGAACGTTATCAATATAGTTCTGGTTCTGGATATTGGAAAGAAATGATTCAATACTTAAAACGTACAGGAAATCAACTCAAAAAAGTTATTGCATTATTTCTTTTATCATTATTACCGTTTGTAGGAGGATTCGTTTATCCTATTGCTAGTGCATATGCATTGGTAAATTCTTTAGGTAAAGTACCTGCAATTATTGTGGGTATATTAATGTACATTACTCCAGGAACAAAATCTTTTGCCATCATTTTTCTTGAAACATTATATTCTTCAAGAGCATTAATGCGTGAATTACTAGAACCTTATTTTGGTAGAATTAAGTTTAATGATGAAACAAAAAGAAAATGGTTTAGAGAAAGGGAAGGAATATTATTTGGTTTTTCTATAGTCTTTTATCCTTTAATGAGATTACCTTTATTGGGAATGTTATTTTATGGGGTTGCTCAGGTAAATGATATTTTTTATTATTTTATAATGATGTACTTTTTTTTATGGTAATGTTGCAAATAATAAGATGGAATATTTATTTTTTTAGGCTGCAACTGCTTTAGTTCTTATTAAAACTACCGATCCACCACCACCACCATCACTATCGGATACGTCCGAAATAGATCCTCATTACAAAGATCCTAGGGAAAAGAAACACAGAGAATGAATAATTATTTATTTCTCGAAATTTCTTTTTATGAATACAAAAAATTGATTATAAAATATGTCAAATTCTGCAGGGAAAATAATTTGGTTATTATTATTATTATTATTATTATTAAATTGTTTCACTGTAATATATCTGCAATTTACATACTGTAATATGTATACTGCATCGCTACCTATTAAAATTAAATAGAGATAAAATGTTGGTTTATATCATCTTTCGCCAATAGGACCAAAGATCGTTCAACGTTTTGTAATTTTTTCACTCAAGTAAATAAAATATAATTTGTAGTTACAAACGAAATAATTTAATTTTGCAAAACGTAAATTGTCAACAGGAAAATCTTCAAGCACCTACAGTACTATGCAAGTAACTGTACTGTATTAAAATTTTTGTATTTTTTTTAATGTGTTACGCGATCTGAGTTGAGTTTTTTGCTCTTTGGGTAAACACATGTCTTACATCAATCTGCAGGAGGAGACAAGTAATATTTTTCTATAATTCTCCTGTAACAGTATACAATATACAGTATATGTATTATTTATTTTATTATTTATATATAGATACATCTGTCTTGCCCAACAAAAAATTTACCTTACCACTACGAAAATTTACTATTACGAAAATCAAAATAACCTCATTCTCCCCCCAAAAAAAATCAAAAAATAATATATATATATATAAAAATGCTGAAATTTAATCCAAGTACTACACATGAAATAGCTTTCTTCCTTTCAGCTACCTATAGTTCATTATGGTTGCTTGGTTTTGCTTCGGTATTTTTCCTTGACTCGATTAAATCTTCGGAATCCAAGAAATTGCCACTTAAATATAAAAATCAAATTCAATGTTAAAGATAGTATTGAATACAACGAATTTTTAAAGCGAAATTATTATTATAATTTTTTTATAGATCTCTGTATAAAATTCATCTCTTCACTCTCAATGTTAAAGGTAGTATTGAATACAACGAATTTTAAAGTAAAATTGTTATTCTTATAAAATTCATCTCTTCACTCGAATCAATAATTATTATGTCACGAGAATTTTCTTTCGATAATTATTTTTTAGACTCCTACTTCCTATATACAGTATTTATTATTTACTTTAGCACGTATATAAAAAAAAAACTCATTATTTAGTTTTAGCATGCAATAGATTTATATATTAGAATTTTGAGAATCTCAAAAAAAAAATTTCAAATGAGCAACTTTACAAAGTCAACAATGGGTATTATTAAAATAAAAAAGGAAAAAAATTTACATAAAAAATTAACAAAATTATTATTGTAAAATTAACTCGAATTATTCAAATATAATAATAATAATCTAGAATCATAAAATTTATTCGATATGAATTCTACGATGAACATCAGGTTTTTTGGGAACCTTTTACGGAAAAAAAATAAAATAAAATAAAATAAATTTCCATTCACATAAATTTCACAAAATAATTTAATTAAATACATATTTACCTCAATGTATAAAGCACCATTTTCGCATCTCGCTTTAATATTATCAATATCAGATCCCAAAGGTAATCCAATACTATGTATAATAAAATAATTGTTGATTAAAATATAAATGATTAAATATTGTTGCTTAAATACTGATGTTAAAAGAATTAAATAAATATGACAAATTCTTACGTGCGACGAAAACGACCATAATTACGTTCTTGAATGCGTGAATTCAAATCTTTGATACTTTCATCGGGTTGGCGATCACCCGTGAGAACGAGATTTCCTTCGTTGTCAATTTCAAGGTGGAACTTTGAAAAAAAAAAAATTTTAATCTATAATTTATTAATTCCGCACAATGCAAATGTGAAGAAATAATTATATACCTGATCTTTCTTAACTCCCTATTTATTTGAGATAATTGAATAATTAATATAATTGAAAGAATCGTTTTTTTTTTTTTTAATTAATATATATTAAAGAGACAGCGCATACCGGCAAGTCAACGTTGCAATAAAATTTACCGCCGTGATCAAAGCTTTAGACAATAATAAAAATTTCAATTTCACTTTTTTCTCTAAATCTCGAAAATCTCGATCCAATTTTTATTTACTTACGCATCAATGTCAGGTAACCAATCTGAATCCCAATCATGTTCAAGGTGATCACTTCTCTTTGTGGAACCTAAACCACCTAAACCACCTAAACCACCATAACGAGTTGCAAACATTGTTTTCTTTTGTAAAAAAAAAAAGTTCAAGAAATTTTGTGTTGATAGATTTGGGAAAATAAAATGAATTTATCAGAAAAGATTTATATTATTTTTTTTTGATGGTTGGGAATTTTGACTCCTCAAAAATGATAAAATCATGACAATTATGAACTAGTCTAATTATAAAAATATTACATTTTTTATTACATTTTATTACGTAATTTCGTAATTTAACTAATATAGGCGAAATAAAATATAATTAAATTTTTTCCGAATTTTCGCCGCTCTTTTCACACGAATGATGACATAAATGTTTAATTGTTTTTTTTTGTCACAATTATGATATATGACATAATTCTAAAATAATAAGAATTTAAAAATCCTTGCGTTTTTCCCTACTTCTTTTCTCACTTTCATTTTCAGAAAAAAAAAAAGTGCTTTGAATTTTTTGCATCAATAAAAGATGAGCACTAACATTCCTGTTAATCGTGATTTTGGTGACCGCGACCGTGATCGTGGTGGTGACCGTGGTCGTGGTCGTGAACGTGGAGGAAGAAAACACGACGATAGAGATTGGGGAGGAAGAGGAGATTGGGGAGGAAGAGGAGATTGGGGAGGAAGCGGAGATTGGAATTGGGGCATTGCAGATTGGGGAAGGGATTGGGGAAGAGACTTTGGACCTGGCGGTAGAGGATTTAGATCTCCAAGAGCTTCGTATGTTTTAGTATGTCTAATAAATTAGTTTTTGCTTTTCATTTTTTATTACGTATAAATAATATATTTTGATATTATTACAGAAATCGTGCAATTGGGGAATATGGAGGTGGAGGTTTTAATCCTGGCGGTTGGCAAGAACGCCCATTTGGAATGCGCGACGATTTTAATAGCAATTGGCTTCCTGACTGGTATAATTTTAAAATCGATTTTATTTTTATCTTTCATATTATAAGCGAAATAATAAAGATGTTTATTCCTTTTTAAAAGGGATGTATACAATGCCGATGACGCCGTTATCGTCACCATGGAGGTAAATAAATTTTCATTAAAAAGCAGTGATATAAAAATATTTTTAAAAATATTTTTCAATGAATTAAAAAAAAAAAAAATATTATCAAAGGTTCCTGGAATAAAAAAGGAAGAACTCAAAATAGATGTTGCCGAAAATCGTTTAATTATTCAGTCTAAGAGAAATTTTGATGAAAGACTTCGTGACGCTGATAATGTCTATTTGCGTGAACGTGAATTCGGATTCTTTAAAAGGCGTGTTAGATTGCCAGAGGTATTGTGTAAATACTTTTTTTTTTTGGTCAATTTTAAATTTAGTTATTATTAATAAAAAATTGTGAATCATTTAAAAAAAGGGATGCGATGTCTCTAAAATCACCGCCAAGCTTCTTGATGGAATCTTAACTGTTAGGGTTCGTATAATTTTAATTTATTTGTTTTATTATTGACAAATAATATAATAATAATAATAATAATATTTTTTTATTATTATTAAAAAAGATTCCCAAAGGGGAAGGTACACCTGGAGTTCGTGTTAAGATCGAATAAAAATAATTTCTATAATTCCTAATCGAATTCTATAATACAATATTTTAATTGCAAGCTTTTGTAACATATTTTTATCTTAGCTAATTTTTTTTTTTGATGTAATTATTTCTTTTGATGTTAATTATTTCCTTTTTTGAAACAATATGATTAAAAATTTTTTAATTGGATTCTTATGCAAGTTCAACGATTTTTACCCGAATAACAAAATTAAGTTTGTCATAATGAATCTTAAAATTAAATGGAAATACATTTTTTCTTATTAATTTTTTTTTTTATTTCAACGATTCATACTAACCATTTTACGTGTCGCAATTATATGCTAAATTATAGGCTAAAAGCTTAATGTTAGATTATAGGGCTTAAAATTCAAAATATTGTTTTTCCTTTAATTTAGCCGCAAAGCATTTTTTTACCTTATATTTAGTTTTAGTATTTACGCCTACAAGTTCTGCAGACCGATTGTAGCACAAAACAAATTACCTATGCATAATACCTGTACATTATCAAACCGTTGAAAGTAAGATTTTACATAATTGATGATCATGGGATAATGTTTTTTACTCGATCAGGAAATTTTATTATTTGAACAATGAAAAAATTATTATATAATCGTTTGTGAATATAATAACGAAATATCATAATTGTGCAGAGTGCTTTTTTCTAAAATAAATTGGATGTGATTTTCATGATTTTCATTTAAAGTGTACGTATTGTATGTATGTATAATAATCTATTGATTTTTTATGTGGGAATATTCTTCTATCATTCTATCATTTCATAGAAACATTTTCTAAATTCTGAACATCAACTCGTAAAGAGACAAATTTTATAACGTAGATTTGTAAATCGTTGATATTTTCACACGTTCCGAGAAAATCTGCATTCACATTTGATAAATGAATATTCCAGTAAATATTTGCGGTTTCCCACATATTTTTTTACAATAATATTACCTATCAAATCCGTTAAGTTTGCCATTTCTAGAAGTTCATTTAAAATTATTCATTCATTATCTCATTATCAATCCTCACACTTAGATTAAAAAGTATGGATAATCGTATGATTAAGAATATTTAATTATAGATATGTAGCGTGAAGATTGAAAAAAGATATTATTCGGATTTCAATCTCACCTTATCAAGAATTCATTATAAAGAATACATAACATTAACAAAGAATACATATAAAGAATCAATCGGTTGGATCTTACAAATACGCCGAAGATTTCAAAGTCGATTCCTTTTATGTGAAGTAAGAATTTTGTGGGCGTTATCAATCTGTTACAAATTATGCATTATTTTCATGCAATACACAAACATTTAACTTACCGTTTCATATATAAAAAGAAACCATCGAGCATTCAGCGAATACTCAATTCTTTTGATAGCCAATAATCATTTCGAAAAAAAATTTTTTGGTAATAAATTAATAATAATAATTTTTTACTGCTTTTGTTACATTTACTACTTTCTCTACCTTTACTACTTTTTGTTATTAATAAAACATATATATATATAAAAGAAAACAAAAGAAAAATAATCTCATACCAAAATGGAAGCCTTTAGAAGTTACCGAAGTGTTGAATACACTTTTAACGAAAAGGCAGTAAATCCTGAGCCTACCCCTAATAATTTCAATTTTCAAAAGCTCGCTGAATCATTGTTATCATTCATTGGTATTCGTCCTCAAGAAAACGATACTACTTCTCCACCTTCTAACACATTACTCAAACAAAATCGATCATGTCAGCGAGTGACGGCCTATGTACAATTTAAAAATTCTAATCCAAAAGATTTTAATGGTGTAGTAACATTTTTTCAACAGAATAATGGATCGACAGTTGTTTATGGACAATGGAATGGTTTAAAGGATTTAGATCCAATGAATTATGAATTTGTAATTTATAAAAATGGTGTAGCACAACGAGATATGACTATTAATATTCGAAGAGGTATTGAGTTTGAAGGAAACTCCGCTTTTCTGAGGACTACTTTTGATTCATTACCACTTTCAGGGATAGGTCAAATTATTGGTGGAAGTCTTTATATATCATATTGTGGGAAGGTTATTGCTAAATCGGAAATTTGTCAAATTTAACAAATAACGAAAATAATAAAAAAAAAAAAAAAACAATGAAGTTCATTGAATGAACTATTTATTTCTTATTGGGATGTAAAATTTTATTCGTGTATAAAAACATTAAGACTTCCATCCCTTTTCTGTACAAATTTATTTATTTTTATTTTTTTTTTTTTCTGTACATTCAAAAAATTTAAATTCGTAAAACTAGAATTAAAAATTTATTAGAATTCCTTTTATTCTCAGAAAAAAAAAAAAAACTTAAATAAGATTTTGGCGATAGATAATTAAGATTTTCTAAATTATTAACATAATAAACAGGTTTTTTTACGAAAGCCTTTAACTTAACGTAACGCTAATGTTACCACACAAAACTTAAAAAATTATGTATTTATTTTTCCACGAGAAAACGCAACCAGGCTTTTTTTTTTTAATACAAAAATTACAAAATTATGTAATACAATTTTAAAAAATATAATTATTTCAGATTATTATGTATAACTGTAAATTTTCATAAGCTAAAACTAAAAATAAAATTTAAAAACGCATGTGCACAGTAAAAATTGTCATAAAGCTGTATTCCAAAAAGGGTATGCTGTATAATTATTACAGATTACTAGTCAGCTGGAATTATTTTCTCGTGGCCTTCATTTCATTGGAGTTAACGTTTTGTTACGTAATAAGTTTAGAAGATAAAAGATTTACCATTTGTTTTTATACACTTTCAAAGAGTATTAATAATTACCTCCTAATAGATCGTGTGAGTAATTTCAAATCAACCATTGGTGAAGAAATATAAATATACAAAATTTGATTATTTGCTTAGACTAAAAAGATTTCGCCTGGGCTTAAAAAAATTATCCAATTGCGAAATTTTATTTATAATGTTATTTATTAATTGGTTGACAATAATGGAAATTGTTAAAAAATGTGCAAAAGATAAAGTCCTTTATGTAAATAATTCTGAAGGCAATATTTAATTTGATAATTTCTTTGAAAAACTACAACAAATCTAAAAAGAATACTTTTCTTTCTCGGTTGTTTGCTTTTAGCATATATTAAATAGAGTTTTAATTTACTATTGTGAAAGATTTCAACACGGGAAATTTAAGTCACATTGTTTAACCAATAAAATATAGATCGAATCTAATCTTCGAATATTGAAGATTTTTTCTTGATGTAACATTGAAATCATCCTGTCTCAACCTTTTTTTTTAATCTATTCCATTAATAGTATATCTCTCAATCCTCGTTTTCTCTAATATAGTAAAGAGGTGACTATATACTGTTTCGTCAATATTTGTCAGATGAGAAAAAAATTAAACAAAGAAAGAAAACAAATGGAAATTTGCGGGCATTTGTTGGTTTCATGTACACATGTGCAATTTTATAATTGCCATACCATGGTGATCTTTTTGTTCGGATTTTTTTTAATATTAGAAAATCGAGAATATTGTCAATCAGAGAATAAAAAATAAAAAATAAAAAAATATTTTTCTTAATAATCTGAGAATAAAATAAAAAATAAAAAATATTTTCTTAATAATCTGAGAATAAAAAAAAAAATATTAAGAATATTCATTTCAAGAGAAATTTTTTTTTTCATTTGAATATTATTTACCATTACCATTGAAAAAATTTTTTTGAATTCCCATCAATTCGTCAATGATGTGAAAATATGCAATATTATTAGGAGCATATTTATTGCCGGTATGTTTATTTTTTTATGAAAAATTAGATCACAAAACCAAAACTTATAAATCGCCCAGTGTTTATTTTTCTCTCAAAAAAAAAAAATCTCAAATTTATACTTGAACCCTGCATCTATTTCAATAAGGTAAAATAATATTATTATATAATAATTATTATTACAAGTGAATTATTGCCGCATTTTTATTTATTAGTATAATAATTTTAAAATAAAAAAAAAAAGGGATATTAAGAACACAAGATGGGGGTTCACCATTCAAAATCATCATCTGGTACTATGAATGAAAAGAGAAAAACAAAAAATAAAAGTAATAATATAGATGATACTAATATACACCGTGAAATTAGTAGTGAAGAAATTGATAATGCGAATTTTCAACATTTCCTTTTTAAAAAATTGTGGGGAAAAAGTTATAGTGCACCGATTGATGAAATGTTAAAAGCTGGAGGAAAAGTTCTTGATGTTGGGTTCGTAAAAGGCTTCTGTTTTTTGAAAATTCTAATTGTCAAGAGAGAGAGAGAGAGAGTCTTATCTCACAGTTATTTTTTTTTTTCTTTTTTCTTGTTGTAATCCAAAAATCATGTTTATGTCAAATTATAGTTGTTCGACGGGCAGTTTTTTATTGGATTGTGCCTTGGAATTTCCAAAAAGTGAATTCGTAGGCATAGATATCTCACCAATCTTTCCAACACAAATAAAGCCACCAAATGTCACATTTCAAATTCACGACATTCGGAAACCCTTTCTTTTCGAAGATGAATCGTTTGATTTTATTCATTTAGGATTCATTCGAAATTATGTAAATAAAGAAAGTTGGAAATTAGTAATAATACCGGAAATATTACGCATACTTAAACCTGGAGGTTGGGTAGAAGTATGTATTTAATAATAATAATTCTTTATAATTCTTTTATGTATAAAAAATTATTAATAATTTGAATAATTTGAATAATTTGAATAATTTTATACCAGTTTATGGAATCTGGTAATCAATTGATAAATGGCGGCGAGGAAACAATAAAATTTTTTATAAAATGTGAGAACATTTATATATATTCTTGATGTTAATATAATAATTATAAATAATTATATAGTATTTTATTAATTTCTTTTGCATTACAATAGTTTACAATCATCTGCCGAATTTTAAATTGATTCCTTTTGAATGTTATCAAGAAATAATTAATTCATTTAATGAAACATTAGAAAACATAACAACGAAAGAAACTACTTTCGGGTGGAATATATTTGAATGTCAAACACCCATTGACTTAGGTAAGTATCTTTAAAATTTAATTATTACATTTTATAATTTTTTTTTTAAAAAAAAAAAAAAAAAGTTTATTAAATTCATTTATATTCATTTATCTTTATTCCATGGCTTTCGAAAATATCAGCATACGAAATCATAAGTAACTTATTGTTAGAATTGAATCATCATTCCGAAAATAACTTAAAAACTCAAAAGCAATTAGATACAATTTCTAAAAAAATTAAAGAAGAATGCATCAAAAATAAAACAAAAAGCAAAGTATTTCGTATATATGCTCAAAAGAAAAAAATAATAAATATAACATGAATTAATGTACTAAAAAAAAAAAAAAAAAAATTTATGCTTTCACAATCATTTCTCTGAGAATGAGTTATAAATATGATATAACATAATTCATTTGTAGTAATATTCTCAATTGTATTTATAGTCACGTCAATAATTTATAAAAATTCTTTCTTTGTCACATAGTCCACGGACACATCTCTTTTATTTAATAATAGGCAGGACCTTCAAGAGTCACGGAAGTCGAAGTGATATTATTATTATTATTTTTTTTGAACCAAAAATTATGAATTTAAATGATATAATATCAATCACGTTTAACTTTGTTTTGGTTTCATTTATAAAGCAAAAAGAATACATTTATAGATTTGTGTGTTAATTTTTTAATAAAGCTTATTTTATTTGTTTTTATTGCTTATTAATATTTAATTAAAAATATGCTAACTTATTTTATTTAATCATTTAATTAAAAATAATGCTAACCATTTTTGGATTTATCAACCAAAATTTAGTTAGGTAATTTACACGAACTTGAACTCGATTTTTAAATAGCGATTTTCGTTGAGTTTTTCATTATCGAAATAAATTTTAAATTTAAAATATCTAAATCGTTACAATTAATCATATCAATCATATCATAAGTACTCATGCATTTTTTTAAATTGCACCTTCTTAATTTAGGTAGAGATTTAATTTGTATTTATCGAATTATTTTTTATTTAAACCGTTAAAGAATTTTTAATCATAAGATGAATCTTGTTATTTATATATATTTTATTGCATAATATTATGTTTAAAAATTTAAAAATTTAATTGATTAATAATAATATTATTATTAAAATCGCATGATTGAAAATGAGGGAGTTCTGGCGTTTGCGAATACATTTCTGTCGTAATTAGAAATGGTACGTCGTTTGTTGAATTAATAACCATGTTTGGTTCATTAATTGATAGTGACGAAAAATCAATAATATTATTATTAGAGTTTAGCCAATTGACGTTATGGCTCAATATATTTTCGGTAATCGGAAATTGGATGAAGTCATTAGGACTTGAAGTTTCTAAAAGTGGTTGTTGAAGTTGATTTACGGGTTCTTGATATTGATATTGATATTGAAAATGAATACTATTGTCATAATTCTCAACGTTACTATCTCCGTGTAAGATTGGATCAAACGTAGAAGGAGGTGTACTAAAATTTCCGGAGAATGCTTCTACTTCGCTAAATTGCAGAGCCTTTGCAACTCTGATTTCTTTACAAGAGATTACTTCAACATCACTCTTTCTCGGCCCGCGTCGTGTTTGCGAGCATACAAAAAAACAATTCTGAGCATACTTCTCACAATTAGAGCATGGCCGAATGCCTGAACATTTGATTTTTCTACATTGACAGTAGGTGCACGCTACTGTCACTTTTACTCTTGATTTGTTTTTTTTCGATATTTTTTTGGGTGTTTTTTGAACATACATTATTTAAATTCATAAAAGCTTATTACGATCGTAAGGATCGAAGACAAAAGAATATTTCGCGTCTTTAAATACATAATCGATTTGTCAGTAATTCCCGAAGAGACACCCAGAGTTTGAAATTAAAAACATAGTACCGGGGGTTTTTTTTTACGCGATCGGAAAACCTACCGCCTCGATCACGTTAATTGATTTGCAAGTTAAATAAAATGCGATCGACAATGATGCGTTAATCGAATCCTGGGATACAGTATTACCATAATTAACCATAATTAGAATCATTTGGTCAGTAAGAAGACAACCTTATTTCGTATAATCTCAATCGTAATCGTAATCGAAACCAATGAAAAAACATATATATATACAACCATTGCTGCTAAAAAAAAAATAAAGCTTTATAACCATATTTTGATACAATATTGAAATTAATCAGGAAAGAATAAGTTCATACAAATTTTACTGAAAAATGAACTCGATTTTAATATTTTATTGGTTTTATTGGTACGATAAAACCCTTGGACAATGTTTATGGTGTACACGAGAAAACGGAAAGTTTATATATAATTCGGATTTATTTATTTCTAAAAATAATTAACAGTTATTTATTAAAAGAAAAACATTGCGGATAAAATTTCCGATGGTAATTAAAGAGTCAACAAACGGATTAATATTTGCATGAAACAACCTCAAAATTAAGCTTATGTGTTTGTCAAAAAAAGAAAAAACTTGCTAAATTAGTTTAGGATTTGTTGTTCACATGCAATTTAAAAAAATAAAACAAGAGTGTCCTTAAAATAGACCCTCGTCTAGACTTTTATTCTAGACGCCCTATATAAATAAATTTTTTAAAGTGGCTAACACGTGATAAATACAATTGTGATCGAGGTTAAGAGCGTAGACCATTGGACAATAATTACTTGTTCAAAATTGATTTTTATATATATTTGTAAAATTTCAATATATATTTTTTAAACTAATTAAAGAGTACGGACAGCGCAGACATGGAAATTGGATAGTCAAAAATCTCAGACATGTAAAACGTGCCACACTGTATTTGAATATATTGTATAAAATAAAGAATTTATTTCTTAATTTAGTCATAATTGTCTTACAAAAAGGTTCAAAATTCATAATCATATTTTTATCCTAACATTCATTTATTACTTTACTTAACATACTTGTTCTATTTTATCTTATTGGATTCCTCGCGCAAGCATATATATATTATTAAATTCGTTGTTTTGGTAGCATAAAAATTTGTTTATCGCACATCGGATTTTTTTCTTTTTTTAATAAATAAATCTAATTGTTACGCATACGTGATTGTAATAAATGTTAATACAAAAAAAAAAAAAAAAAAAGAGCGAACCGAATAAGGTCTCAAGAATGCTAATAAATACTTATTATTGTTCAGAATTATTTGATAGGTTCGAATATCGAGAAACACAAAATGGAAATCGACTAATTCCTAAAGCATCATCATCATTATTATTATTGTTCAAATTCATAATGGAATCTAACATCCCAATATTATTATTATTAGAAATGTTCTGATAATTACTGTTATCTATTATGTCATTCGCGTTTAGAATATTGGTGTTATTACTATTTTCAGATATTTGCATCATATTTTTCATCATGAGATTTTGCAAAAGTATTTGATTATAGTTTTCCAAAAGTTGATCATATGATATAAACTTATTATTTTCGTTAACGTCCATATTATTTGAAAATCCGGAGTTCAGAGGTTGTTGAATTTGTGGTGAATTTGAATTATCCGAGTTTGGGGAAAAATTTTCAACGGGCGAATAAATGGGTGAATAAGTGGGTGAATAAGTGGGTGAATAAGTGGGTGAATAAGTGGGTGAATAAGTGGGTGAATATAATCCGGTTTTCTCATAATCAAAACCATCAAATTGTTCATTCAGATTTGGAATCAAATCGTTATTTTTATTATTATTATTCATAGGTATTAAATCCGGAATAAAATTTTCCGTGGTATTAGTAGTTGTAATTGTTGTTGTTGTTGAAGTGGGATAGGATTCTGTTTGAAAGTTGAACTCATTTGACGAATGAATATCGTACCATTTGGAATCAATGTTTTCTACTTCACTTACTTTTTCAAGAGGAAATGGTAAAAGATTAGGTGACTCTATAATCGAACTTGAATCTGATGATGGTGAAGATAATTCTGGTGTTATTGAGATTAAATCGTTTGAAGATTGTTGTTCGGTTTGAGGTTGAAAAGAGATAATATTCCATCTACTACGTTTCCTCCGGCGTTCTGTTTTTGGATATAATTCATTACGGTATTTATATGCTTCTTTGGCTAGACGTTTGTAATATGATTTAACTGTATCACTTTCATTTTCCCAAGATTTAGAAGTCATTGAAGATATGACAGTCATTGGAAGATGGTAACCGCTATTTCTTGCCGTTTCAACAAAGATTTTACGATATATAATGAATGCATTCGGAGCTCGAGGTGGTTTACCACCATTTACTGGTTTTATTATCAAATCTTTGGCTTCAATTAATGGAGGAAATTCGATTTTTATCGTGGGATGTTCATTGCAATCTTTATTCTCATAAGAAGCCGATTTCTCTAATGCCTTCATTTTCGATATTACAGAAGTATTTAAATCAATAAAAACACAATTTCGAGATGTACTGGAAGTATCTAATTGTTCATTCAAATTACTTGACATTTTTGTCCTTTTTCAAAAAAAAAATTATTTGTAAGAAAAACTATAATCGTTCGTATTTATATAAAAAAAAGTATTTATAATAACTAAGCAAAATTTGTAATAGTTATTGTAAATCATTCCAGATTTGACCGGAAATGACGTAATGATAAATTTCAGTATCACATTTTTTTTTTTAAATCCGAGTATTTCCTGATGTTACACTTCGAGAAGAAGGGACGTGAATATTCTTGAACTTCTTTAATATTTAATAATATTTAAATACCTCACTCTTTTTTTAGCAATAATAAATTTGATTGATGCGATTGAAATTTTTTTATTTGTCGAACAATGGCTTTGGGAACACCTGTTATTGACAGCATGATTAGAATCGAATGAATTATAAATCGCCAAAGAAACATCATGGAATCGGTTAAAAATAACCAATTATTTTTTGATCTAACTTTTTTCTGCAAACAATGTACTCGTGACCAAAGCGCAGGATCAACATTTCAAACACGCGAGTTATCCGCAGACATTTCTTGTGAATTCATGAGGTTTGTTGCTTAGTCATTTTTCTTACTAATCAGCATAAATTATTTATAGCCAAGTTATTAAAAATTGCGGTAATGGTTTATATAACAATGATGAAAACAATTAAATTATTAAAATATTAAAGAAATAAATCTTGAGAGAATGCAGGGATAATTGGCTAATTTTATATCTATTGGTAAAAAAAGTTCTCGGCGCAGTGAATTAATAATTTTTTTCTATTTTAAGAAATGTGCATTATTCTTTATTTTTGATTTTTTTTTGATTTTTTTTTGATTTTTTTTTTGATTTAATCTTTTTTCTTTAAAACCTATAAATATGTACCATTGAGAAAATACCATTGAAAATTACCATTGAAAATCACCACTGAAAATTATCACAACAGGTAATAACCAAAAAAAAAAAATGAGAGAACAAAAAAAAGACTTCGATTTAGCCAATACAAGTTTACTAATCGATAATGTCATCTAATTGATAATGACATTCTTGGTATTTACTTATTTTATTGATATTTATTTTAATTAGTAATTTTAAAGAAATATTAAAAAATTGAATAAAGGAGAAAATCGAAACAGAAAGAGAGAGAGAAAAAAAAGGAAATAAAATTCTCGAAAATAATATAATAATTATATGACAAATGTTCATGGCTGAATAATCAGAAAAAACAATGTGAACGCGTGATAAATGATGATAGGTGGGATGATGCGGTAATGTTGTAGGATGTTGTGGGATGTTGTGGGATGTTGTGGAATGCAGATTAATATTTCAATTTACTTAAACATTTAACACAAAAATTTATTTACCTATTTTTAAAGAAAACATGTATATTACGTCAATATTCCTTTTTAAGAATTTGATATTAACAAAGCCTTGTACTACGTTTTTCTTTTTTTTTTGTTAAAATTTAAAATTATCATAAACGTGGAAAAAATAATCTTATTTTCTTACTTACTTTTTAAACAAATGTCAAGAGTAACTTCCAAACCACCAGTATTACCTCCTTTATTAATTCATAATTCTCCTTATTCAGGAATAAAAGATATTGACTCTTCTGTATGGTCATTAACTAGTACTAGTGATTCGACAACCTCTACTTCTTCTAGTTCATTTATAAATGATTCAAATAATCAAAAAACTGAAATAACAACACCTCCTCTACGACAAACAACAATTCAATTTGATTTATCACCCAGATTAAGTAATAATAATAATAATAATAATAATATACGGCACATCCCTAACACGGCGACGCGACAACCACAAACTTCTATATTATTATTACCAGCATTTTCTTCCAGTACTGTGACTCCTCAACAATCGCAACAAACAAATTTGAGGGATACTCGAATACCATTCACATTATTGAACAATAACATCAACAACAGTAATAATAATGCTAAGAGACGATGTCATTTAACAAGAAATAGTAAACCAAGAACATGTAAAGAATTATGGAATTTGCCATGGATGGATAAAGAGAATGGTAATAAATTGACAGCGAAATTTTGGTTTGCTTTATTGTTAATAATTATTTTATTGGTAATATTGAGTATTGTTGGTAAGTAATTATTATTATCATAGTTATTCCGTTTATTTTTATATTTATTTTATTCTTTTAATTTTAATTTAAATTTTTTTTTTTTATTTTAATAATATTTTAATTTATCCTTTTTTTTTTTTGTTTTTAAATAGGAATTTCAATATTTTATGAAGAAATTTAATTATAAGAAACATCATAAGAATTCTTACCATAACGCATAATGCATAATTTTATAATGTATCATTTTGTAATTTATCTATTTTAACTGTACATAGTTTATTAAGTAAACAACAAAAATCCAACACTGGAATGGATTTAATGAGAGCAAAGATGATGGTGGGGAAAAAGAGGAATGTGGCAATCCCTTTCAATTAGTCAAGAATTGAATATATTTTAATTGATATTTATACTAAAAGTAGGAAAAAAAAAGCATTCAACGGAGAAACATTATGTATAATCGAAAAGTTATTATGATATCCTGTAAAAAAAAAACCTCTCTAACAAAAAAAAAATATTGGTGGGAATTTTTGAATTTTTTTCTTTTTTTTTGAAACAGCAATTGGGAATTAGTAAATTATGATTTTTTACAATTTAAAAATTAATTTACACAAAATAATGGTAATTTTATTTCAGTATCACACTGTATAATGGCATGATGTTTATATGTTGTTTGCTCCGAAGATAAAAAGGTGAAACTTGATTCCTTTTTTTTTTTTTTTGCAAAAGATATGAAACAATTGGAGAGAATTTGGATGGATGAATAATTTTAATGAATGATAAATGTTTAATTACTATTAGGTTAAACTTATGTAATTCGCATAAATTAACAAACAAGTCAAAATCAGCTCGCGTATCGCACAATTTTATTGGTTTAATTTATTGTGCGTGCGAATCTATAAATAAATAAATGAATAAATGAATAAAATTATTATGTAATTACTTGGTTACATTCAAAAAAAAAAAATGGAATAATATTTGTTGGTTATACATAAAACGAGAACAACGTAAACGAATTAAAAAACAAAGAATTTTTATTTATCTAGTCCTGATTCATAATTTCGAAATGCTTGGGAAATTATTTCACTATTCAGCTGATGCTATTCTTATAGCTACCATTTTGGCAGGTGTTAAACGTTCAACTGGATTAACGTAAGTCTCATATATGTTTTATATATTATTTTATCAATACAAAATTTATTTTCTTTATTTCTTCGTTGTCAACATCAAAAATCGAATTAAATCAAATTAAATAATTAAATAATTAAATAATTAAATAATTATCAATAATTAAATAATTATCAATAATTAATAATTGAATAATAATAAAAAAATTCAGATTCAATCCAAGTCGAATTGAAAATGCAGCATTACGAAGTGTCGTTGAAAGTTTTCTTGGTATTGGTGAATGGTTATTTGATAAAAGTATTGGATACGTGAGTACTTCGGAATATTTTGAAAGGAGACGAAATGGAAATGAGAATAGAGTGTTAAGAGAATAAGTTAACGTTATAAGTTAACGTATCATCGATTATTATGACAGAATGTTAAATTATAATTGTATAATTGTATAATTGTAGAAATTTAGATTATTTCGTTGTAATGAGAGAATTTTTAATGTAGTATGAATTTTAGTTTAGTATATAGGTAGAATGTGAATATATATTTCTATCTATTATATATCCATATCTATATCCATATCTATTCTATCTATTCTATCTATAGAAAGAAAGAAGAAATCAATATTTTCATGAATGAGAAAAAAGCGAGATTTAAATTATAATACAACTGAAATTAATTAATTAAAAAAACTGAATAAAAAAAATCTGATTAGAAATTATTAGAGAATATTTTTCTTTGTTGTATAAAAAAGAAGAAATTTAAATGTGGGAATATATATTTATTATGAGAACATATTTTTATTTATTATAGAAATTCTAAATAATAATAATAATAAACTACTTAATAAGTATTTAAACTTTTAAAATTGTTTAAGATCACTTGTGGTAATTGTCACCACTGGGCAAAATTAGGGAATTATGTAATTTTGTCCAGTGGTGACAATCATTACTGGTGAGCTCAAGTAATTTATATTGTTTCAACATACAGTACCTTATGTTCATAATAAACATTATTTAAGGATAATATAGTAATTTCATATCACTAGAATTTCTCTCATAATGTTTATATGATTATATGATTATAGCAATAAATTAATATAATATAAGAAAATAATACAAACCAAATTTGTATTAAAGAATGTGAGGATTGTTCTTTTGTCAAATTCTTCACTTTTCACATTTTTGATTCGTTGATTCGTTGCAACGAAATCCGTATCGAAAATTAATTAATATATTTTTCTCAAATTTTATAGTTTATTGCAGTAAAATAATTTTGTACTATTAAAATATTTACACATATTGGGAATCATATGAAATCATGTGTACATTGTATAGAAAAAAATTTAAAAATAATAAAATGTTAAGTATTTTTCCATCAAACAATAAATAAATTAAAATAAATTAAAGGTAGATATTTCGTTATTGTTAAGACTAAAATGTAAACATGCCACACTTAAAAAATAATCAGAACATAATTAGACAAAGGAAGAAAAAATAAAGATTATTAAATTTTTGTTATTAAATACACAATATTATTGTTAAATTTTTATTATTATTATTATCTTATTATAATAATTAAACAATTATTAAATTATTAAAACTAAATCGATCGAAGATTGATAAAGTTTAATAAACTCTAATAAAACTTTAATAAACTATATATTTATAAATAAAATTTTTTACGTCCCTAAACTCTTCCGATTCTTTTCTTCATATTTTTCATTATACTCTTTACAAAGATGATCTCTATGGGTTGTAACACCAAGTGAACTCCTATTTGTTCTACAAGAAATTCCTCTTCTAGCAACTAAATAAGTAATTAGAGCTTGATCTTGACGATGATTTTTTCTACTACTACCAGGTGGTGCTATACATTCTTTATTTAATGCACATTTATACCAATCATCAATTATAATTTGACTAATTTTTGTATCAAATGCTAATGAAGCAGCATTACAATTATTTAATTCATCATATAATGTATGATTATCATTAAAATAATCATAAACTCCAGGATGTATCCATTCTTTTGCTTGACCAGGGGAATTAGGTGAAATAAATCCATGAAATTCGGGCATCCAATCTTTTAAATGTGTAAAATATTTTTCACTTCCCACATTACCCGCATCCATCCAAACCAATATTTTACCGGGATAATCACGTGCTACTTCAGCAATCATTCCAACTTTCCAAGCATATTCACCTTTATTTTTTTTATTTTTTCTTAAAGTTAAATCCCAAAATGATGGATAAGCCGAAAAATTAAAAACTCGAAATTCTGTTACATAACCAAGTTTTGCTAAATGAATAAAATTTTTCCGATTTTTCTTTTCAAATCCCAAATCATATGCAACAATTCCTACATTTTTTAAACCTAGTGCTTTTAATCGATATATTAAACTTTTCATGGGACAAAAATGATTGTTACTTGCTCCTGTAATTACTATAATATCGTATTTATTTTTTGTGGAGTTAGAGACCTGGGGATGCTTAAACGGTTCCACATAATAAGCATCAAGAGGAAATTCAACTGTAATATTGAGATTATGTGTTGATGATGGAAGAATTTCTTCTTCAGGTTCATAATCTAAAGAAAATAAAAAATAATACATATAATTAATTAATTAATTAATTAATTAATTAAAATATTAAAATATTCGTAATAATAATTAAATTATTTTCATAATAATAATTAAAATATTAACAATGATAATTGAAATATTAATAATAACAAAAAAAATACATTACCATCTGAAATATCTTGAAAGACGTACGCTCGCGTTAATAATAGTATTGCAATAAACGTTATAAAGAATATTTGAACTTTTTGTTTCAGCTTTATCGAACCAATTTTCATTTCCATTATCGCAGAATATTCTTTTAAATATTAATAAAGAAACCCCTCCCGAACGAAGTTATTGTTCTTAATATAATATTAATCAAATAAGAAATGAATGAATGAATGTTACGAAGAAATTCGTTTTTTAGGAAAATATATATATATGCGCTGATATTTTTTTTTTTTTTTTATTCGTTGATATCCTTTATATTATGTATCTTATATACATATATATATATTTTATAAGAGTAGAACAAAAATTTTTTGTTGATTTAAATTTATTCAATTTCACTATGGCTTTATAAAAAAATTTCTTTTTTTTATAAACAATTACGGAAACAATCTTGTATTTCAATTTCGGTATTTCATTTGTTCGAATAATTGACCACAAACCTAGTTTTTTAATTAATTGTTTCTTTTTTTCAAAAGAATTTATTAATCATTTCCTTATATAGAGATTTCTATTTTCCCGATTCTGTTGTGTAAATGACAATTTAATTTGACTCCCGTTTTTGAGATACATGTTATAACCTATTTTATTTTTAATTTTTTTATTTTATTCTATTTTCTATTTGATATCTTATTTTTATTTTCTAATTTTTTATTTTTTTATTTTTTTTTTTTATTTTATTTTTTTATTTTTTCAAGATCATGTAAAATAAGTACATTGACGTAAATCATTATAACTCATGTGACCAAGGTATTACAAACTTAATGAACTCAGAAAAGACAATAATCTTTTCTTTTTGCAATTAAAGGATTAGATTAATCGAAATGCATGCTGTTTAAATGAACTTTTGATGGATTAAATAAATAAATTGTGATACCTACCAAACAGAAAGACTTTAGAATTATTCTAGATTGTGACAACAACAATAATAATTATTATTATTATTATTAGAATGATGCTAATTTTCACCGGTTACATGTAGTTTTTTTCTTATTATTTATTATTATATTATTATTATTATTATTATTATTATTATTATTATTATTATTATTATTATTATTAAATGCAAATGCATCAAAGATTCAAAATAAACGTATTACACATATCGTAATGTTTACTGATTATAACGACATCGACATCAACCACTACCGCTCCTTCATAATGAATTATATCATTATATAATTATTGAATGTTTTAAGATTTGATGGAAGGTCAAAATATGGAAAGCTGATATTAACCAATAATTTGATTAGCTTTCACTATCATTGACCAACTTTAACTGGAATAGTAGTGTAGTAACAGTATATCTTTCTATATAAATTCCTTCAACCTCAATCACATCAAGGAAATGACTTGTCGATAGAAAAAAATGCTGCAAAAGAATTTTTTATTATTATTATTATTTTTTTTTTAAAAAAAATAATCATATTAATACAAATCAACCAGTTATTATGTTAAGGTGATATAAAGAATTACCTAGCATTTAATGACACGAAAACGATATCGTTTTCTGAACACAAAAAAGTAAAATTCTCATATTCAACATCATTACATCGGGAACCAAAGAATTATTTGGATTTGGCTAAAATTTATAAAAAAAATAAAATTCATTTAAAGATAACAAGGATAACAAGTGCTTCCGTGAGACACCAATCATCATATTCATTTAAGTATGGATCGATCTTCAGGATAATTGCCCAAAAATTCCATTGGTTATAATGTTTAATATAAAAATTTTATATTTTATATTACATTGTGTTTTTATTATGTTATTATGTTTAATACTTACTACCATGTACCGAGTTCCTCGTTTTAAAATATCATGAGCATGAAAACTTGTAATCCTTTCTTAACTATTCTATCCCCTTTAATGGAATTGTTCGTTAAAGTTCCAAACAGGTCGAGTAACACCACCACCTGGTGCTAAACTAATGACAATAAAATTAACAAGTGTCTTGGATGATAAGACAAGACAATTTCGATAATTCTGTGGATGACAAACCGATTTTTCTATTCCCTCCGAAAACACTTCTTTATTAATTATTACTAGTTATCGCATTCACAACACAAATTATTATCCAAATAATGAAATTACAACAACGTAATAGCAGTAAAAGCGAATGTTTATTAATTTTCCAAAAACGCCTGATTCATCTATTTTTTTTTTTTTTCAATAAAATAAATTTTAGATTTAAAACTTTTCAAAGAAACTATTGAATATATCAAAAAAGTTTTATTAAAAGACTTAAATATAATTTTATTTTGAAATTTTTTCGTCGCACTTAAACAAAAGTCACGACATATTTAGAAAGCCAGAAAACAAAAAGGTTTGAATGACTTGAAAAGGCGTCATTGATGTTTCTCTAATTTTTTTTTCATTATTTTTCTAAGGCTTAGTCATTTTAGAAAAATCGAACTCTCTCAGAAAGCGAAGAATCAAAACGATTAATAATTGTTATTAAAGCCAGTCTCTTTTTTTATAAACTAGGGGAGTCTTGCACGTCCCAATGTTATATTAATTAATAATAAATATACCGTAAGGTCAAGGGTTTAAATTATTTGATGCGTTCAATAAAACTGTGGCTAGTAATTCTCTCTCATATAAATGTTGAATGTTTTTTTCCAAATATTTTCATTTAATCCTTTTTTTACATCAATCATAGAAGTAATCTTCAAAATAAAAGCTTCAATAAAATTTTAAACAATGATAAAAAAAATAATTGCCATCATAATTTGAATTCAAGATTTTATTTTAAATTACTTAATTTATTTATCTATTGTCTTTTTTTTTGTTAATAATAAAAAAGGTGAATTACTGAATTTTAAAATATTATAAAGGAAAGTAAAAATTATATGAAAATGAATAATCTTATATATAAAGAATTAAAATTTATAAATAAATTAAATTAAAGAATTCACTAATATAGTAGTCACATGATTGTATTACTCATTATCACTTAATAATTCCCAATCGTCAACAATATTATCTTCACTAGTAATATTTACGGGCAATTGTTTACTGGAATTATTTTTGCTATTATCAATATCAGCATCCCATGAATCAACTGTATGTGATGATTCATAATTTTTGACATTCATCAACATTTCGAATGAATTTTTGTTATCTATTGATATCGATGATGGAACCGCAGTAACCTTTGATCCGCGATTGTTTAACAATTTACTTCTTTCTCGCCAAGTAACTTCATATTTGGAATTAACCCAACACAATTCCGCGTTCCCAACAATTCCTTTCGAAATCAATATATCTTTGGCAGATAGCTTCAGTTTCATTAACAAGGCTTCTAAATCATTCATTTGCATTGAACCAACGAATGGTATAATGATTACATCTTCATCGTTGATCCATTTGGTTTGACAAGCAATTTTGCCTAATAATGAATCTAAATTCTTTTGTAATTCTTCCTTTGTTAATCCTTTATTCAATTCCACTAGATACAAAGCATTAACTGGTTGCTTCGGCTTACGAATTGATTGTTCTGGAGTCGTAATAGATGATGAGGAAGATACATTTGCCAAAGATTGATTTCCCATCTTACCATACTTTGCATAAGTTTGAGAAAGCAATATTGGGGGACTTTGATATTTTAAAAAAATTTTAATAATCAATATTTATCAAAAAAAAAAAGAGACAGAATTTTGGATAATTCTTTATATTTACATTGTAGAGTCGGATTTTTTCTTCACGATAATACTTCTGTATGGTTCTACGTCAACGCTTTCGGATGTTAATCGATAATGAACACATAATCCATGTATGAAATGTCTATGAGATGACTTCATTGGAGAAAAATTCAATGTTGGTTTAACAGACTTGATAAATTCAGTCAAGGTATTTTCAATATTTTTAGCCCACTCCTTATTAGTTTCATAATATTGAAGTAAAAACGTATCATATTCGGGAATCTCTTTAATCAAATTTCTACAGCATACATAAAAATAAAATAAAATGAGTAAAAGAGGAAAAAATTAAATATTCATTATTTATATTCATTATTTTATTTCTTTTTAACTTACCCATCAACAATACGATCACTCAATTCTAATGCATCTGCTAATTTTCGATTTCTTTCAATCATTGCACAAAAATCATTACAATCTAACTGTCGATCTTTATCCGCTGGATTTTCCACAGTCGAATTACAGGTCACTTCTCGAGATAAATTACCACATTTGCAATTAATTGTTATTTTTTGTAAACATGGTGTCTCTTCAGGACATCTTGAAGGAGCGTGACATCTAAAAAGATAATATTTGATAATATTTTAATTAGGACAATCTTTTATTAATCTTCGAAAATCTAATGACTTATACAGTAATTTTACTTACGTAGAAGTACAAGGGTGTCCACAATCTTTACGTGGTTTTCCACATATTTGATTACATATTTGCGGATCGAGACAATCTCCTGAATGACATAAACGTCGGCAACGATGGCCTCCACAATATAAAGGGCGATCACATTCTTTTCCGCAACTAACATTCGTCTTATGACATCTAACATTATTAATTGTGGATTTACCACATATACATTTTTTATTATTAACGAGGTACGGACATGGAGGGCATGGCTCCGAATCAGGATGACAATTATGCGTAACAGCTGCATGGTTACATGGAGGAATTCGAGTACATGGAAATTCACATTTAGGAATTTCCATCCCACATGGAATTGGGGGATAAATTTTGGTTTGACCACAATGACATGATAATTCCTCAAAAGTTGCCTCTAAGCAACGCATACAGGGTCCTGAATGACAAAGAAGTTGACAGTTGTGTTTTCCACATTGTAATTTCTTCCCACATATTAAAGTGCAAATATGATTTAGATCTTCCTCTTCTTGAGGAATAAATCTCCTCTTGGAATGTTTCTGTTTAATGTTAGCCGAAGGACAACTAAAAATTATCAATAAGCATTAGTAATAAATTCATATACTATATCAATAAATCAATAAATATATTAATAAACATTAAAACTAACCATTTGGTATTACATTCATGCTTTCTACAATTTCTCAACATTTTACATATTTTCTCACATAATGGTGGTTCACCGGATTTTCCTGTAACTTCAGAACATATCTTTTCAAATTCGGTGCTACCGCAACGACATTTAATGCGAACTTTAACGGTACAAGGTTTGCATTCTCCATAATGACAAACATCTGTACAAGAATGGCCACACATCAAAGACTTTCTACAGGGATTCCCACACAGGGGAATTTTCTCAGTGCATGACATCCTTTCGCATCCAAGTAATTCTTCTATAGAACGTGCACCACAAGGACAATTTTTAACTCGTGAAGGATCCAATAAACATGGTTCAGCTTCACCGCTGTTGGAATGACATTTTCGATCACAATAATGTTTTCCACAATCAAGTAATCGTGAACAAACACAATCACAAGAAAAGAAGCCAGTCCAGTCATCAGAATTGTCATTTGAATTTCTATAACAATGAATGGGATTTCCTTCACCACATTTGGCCTCACGTTCTGTTTGACCACAATAACATTTTTGTATTTCAACAACATCACATCTTTTACATGAACCATCGTGACAATCTTGTTCACAATAATGTTTTTCGCATCCAAGTAATTTACCACAGGTAGTTCCACAAGACCTTCCACCTGAATAATCGGTATCGACACAACGAAGTTGAAATTTCTCACGACCACAAAAACAAGGTTGAACTGGTCCCATAGCAGAGCAAGTGCGATCGCACGGGCCAGGATGACATAACCTTTAAACATGAATATTCGATATGATATGGGTTAAATAGAAACTTTTTATATAAATAAGTTAAATAATAAATTTTAAAATTTTTTAGTACTTACTGAGTACAATCGTGAGGACAATCTCGTTTTCTTCTACAAATTTCACCACAACTGTGAGGGGTAAAATATCTAGAATTTTGCGGATTTTCTACTTTACCTATTTAAATCAAGAAAAAAAAAAGAGTAAGTTATGTTCTGACTTTAATATTGAAAGCAATATAAAAATGTAAAAGACATTATATCGTACCACAAAAGCATTTATATACTTCTGGAATATTCTCTAATCTATGTTGACAACCCGGACAACGCCAAGATCCTACATCTTGAACTGATTTTTGTGCCCATTTTTGCGTACACTGAAGGTGAAAAACAGCCCAACAAACTCCACAATACCATGTCTTGCTATAAGGTCGAATTACTTCACAACATATCATGCATTCATACGTAGAAGTAGTTAAACCATGTGTTATTGAAGTTCGTACATCTTTAATCTCATCAAGAGAAACCTTTTTAGATGATATTTTGGATCGATTGTTGTTGCGAAAAGTTTTCTGATTAGAACTTGATGAAGTTGAAGGAGATGATGATATTTTTTCCTTAGGAACTTTTGATCTATTTTCTGAAACATTATTGTCCTTAGATCCAGTAGGTTTTGTATATTCTTGAGATGATAAATCACCTTCACGAAGTGATTCTTTAACTACGTTATCTTTTATTTGATTCGCTGAGGAATCTTCACTTATTCCTTGATTCTCACTTGGTGAAGTACGAGATTCATTTACATATGATCTTCCACCTCTGCCACCACGATATTCTGACCTATTCCTCAAATTATTACCTATTGATTGAGATTCCCGAGAGCTATTTGTCTCGGAATTAGTGTTTTGTGTATTTGTATTCTGATTACTTCTTGGATCACGTTTATTTCGAAAATGATGTCTTCCACTTTCATAACGATTATTCCTTTCATTAATATCCCTTCTATTATTTGTAGTTTGATTATTATAATTATTATTATTATTATTACTATTATTATTATTATTCGTATTTTTTGAATTTATTGAATTCCGAGATCCATTGTTAAGATCTCGTATGCTAGAAGTTTGATTGACGTTAATATGTACATCGTTTTTTTGTGCTGGCTCCCTTGATGTAGAATGAGTGTCAGACTGAACAACCGTTGTTGGTTGTGTTATTGGTTGAGTACTTGGTTGCGTTATTGGTTGCTCGTTTGTTTCGTTAGTTAATACGGGAGTATTTTCTAGATTAACATTTTGGGATCGGCTGTTACGAAAGCCACCTCGATCGCGTCCGCGGCCGCGAATGTAACCACGACCACGACTACCACCACCTCCAACACCACGATAATGGCGACCTCTGTAACCTCCTCGGGAAAAAGAATTATTTTGACTTTGATTATTTTCGGATCTTATTCCCAAAAAATCGTTTGTTACAGTGGAATTTTCTTGCTGAATCGATAAAGTTTCACTAGAATTTGTTTCTGACATGATTCAAGTATGAAAAAAAAAAAAACTTTTTAACTTTATCTGGGAAGATTCAGTGATATTTATAGTATTTATAGATACAACAAAACCCGCAGTAAATTACTAATTTAAGGCAATTTCTTTAAATAGCCATTTACACAAATACTGCGACTAAAACTGCGCGAAAATTCAGTTGCGTAGTAAAAATTGAAACCAGTAATTATAATATAAGGTTATGATTATGTAATCAATAGAATGTTCTATCCCATTCTGTATTTTACAATTTATTTCCAAAAAGAACTCTTTATTAAGAGAAAAAAAATGAGAAGATTTTACATCATCTTAATGAATAATTTTTATAAAAAATTTAACACAAGCCAATGAGCATAAATTTTTTTTTTTCTGATTTGCTATGAATTTTACTCTAAAATAAAAATAAGCTTGCTAATTTTTGATTATAATAATTAATTCACGAAACACAGTAAGAATTATTATTATTTTATTCAAAAAAAAAAATAATAATAAATTAAAATTTGTAATTTTTTTATAATTTGATTACCTATTTATTAGATATCTTTTAATCACATGAACAGATTTTTTAATCCAAAACGGGTTTTCTTATTAAGGTTATGTTAATTTTTCCTATTCTCTAAATTTTTGCAACAAACAGAATAAAGACCAATAGTTACGAGACAAGATTGTACGGAGACTGCATTCCCCCAAAACTGTTTGGGTAACTGACATAAAACAAAGAAGCAAAAGCGTTGTGCGAAATCTAAAATCTCTTGTAAACGGCATTTATGTCCATTATTGTCAACCTTTGACAATGAATCTAAAATGGCGGCAGTTGTTTATTAAATTTGGTCCGATTTTCAAAAATAGATTTATTTACGGTGTGATTTGGGATTTCATGTGTTCAATGAAAACGAACATCACATCCAAGCGTAAATTATTTTAGTGTTTCTCAAGATGGAATAATATTTCGGATTATGGGCGTGAGGTATCACAAGTAAATTTATGTCATAATTGGTTATGTAAATAAGAGAAAAAAAATGCCAAGAATGTATGGATCCCAGCGCTGTCTTCCGAGATTTTCTTTTTTAATACTAACTAAAGAGGAATTAATTGAAAAAATAAATAAGCCTTAGATTAAAAAAAAAATCAAGTATTAATGATGATGGCTTTTGCTGCTGACATTTACAAACAACCACGGGAAAATCTTTAGAGACAAAGTAATTCATTCACATACACATGCAAAAATTATAAATTTATACTAACCATTTCCCGCGATAACACTGAGCTAAAATGACAGCCCCTTTTTAGGAATCGGGCGTGAGAATATAATTAGATAACGGCTTTGGTTTATATAGATTAATAAGGCTTACATATTATAATTTTTAATTATTATCAGCATTCGGTTGTGATCGTGGCTTTAAGTTTTCCTTAGGCATATTTTCATCTATTTTTGTTGTTTTGTCACAAGGTCATGTTTATGGGGTAGAAAAATTGTTGGAATCATATTGTTGTTATTAAATCAGAATTCTTTTTAGTCACACGACAGGACATCAAACAAGGTGCAACCAAACGACGGAACCTTCTCTCATCATCAATAATTATATATTGTTGTACTGCATTCTTTTCAGTTCTTTTTTTATTATTACATATTTATTACATTTGTACAAATTGGTTAACCTTTTTTATGTGACTTATTCTTTTGAACAAACAATTTCTCCTGTTTCCCTTTATTAATCTTGATTGGTTCTTTTTTTTTTTAATCCTTAAATACAATAAATAACAAATAATACAAATAAAAATGTATATAGTGAAATTAAGCAACGCAATGCCGATGTAACAGGAAATATTTGTCAGAAGTTTCGCAGAATTTCTTAATATTCTACGTACGATAAAAAGGATCAAAGCTATTTTTTTTACGGAATAAGTTATCCGAATAACCACAATATTAAATCTTTTCCAGTAAAGTTTTTTTTTTTTTTAACTCATTTACCCATTTACTCATATACTAAATATAATAATTACTTTAATTTAATTTTTATAAAAATAATCTAACTTTTCTAACTTGCTCAAATTTTATTACCACTAAACCCAATTTAATAATCTAATGGTCTAATTGAACTATTCTTTAATTTTACTACTGTATGACACATACACATACCACATAATACTACATACTACATACATATTACATTACTTAAATTATTCAAATTACTCAAATTACTCAAATTACTCAAATTACTCAAATTAACTCAAAATTTTCTGCAATCAAATCAAAAAAAATATCTCAAATATCTCTAAATATCTCCGAATATATATAAGATATTATAAGCCTCATTTTGATTTAAAGTTCCAAGAAGATTTTCTTGAGTAGCATACAGATAGCATTATGATGCATAATTCTTACTATACTCAATAAAAGCATTGAAAAGATTGGGGAACAATTTTATCAAAAAATTGCATAAAGTTTATGTTAAAATTATTTTTTATACAATACACATAATACTAAAAAAAAATTTAATTTATTAAACGCCCGCATTTACCAAATGGTATTATAAAAATAGTATAATTACCTTTTAATGTATTGCATAATTTTCACATTGATTGTAAATCTATAAATATATGCGCCGTGACTCTTTTGTGAAACGGAAAGCATAATTTGTCAACGCAATCGGGGTTCAAAACTGGTTCGAACATTATCAGTGTAAACATTTTGTTATACATTTTGTTATACATTAACAGGAGGAATTTTTTGCCAATGCACAAACACGTTGTTGTTAATCCTATAGAAAATTATACGCTAAACCTTTATTGTATCAATAATTTCTAGCTTGATTAAAAAGTGATATAAAAGGGCTCTTTCGCTGCTTTTTCTTCAAACAATAAACTCAAGTCCTAAGCAAGCAATGGGTGAATCAAGTAACACGAGCACGCGAGGGTATGGTAAATTCCTGTATATTCTAAATTATATATATTATATAAAATTGTTAATAATATTAATCTAATAAACATGATATGAATATAATATATAAAATTTAATATAATGTAAAATAATAAATGTAATAATGCTATTTGTCTATTTTGATCTCCTGTTTTGATATTAAATTTTAGACGTAAACGTAAAAATCAAAGACCAAGTATTAATACAAAACCCAAAAAAAAGTCGACATCACCTAAAATGATCAAAAAAGAAGTAATATTACCACCACCATTATCACAACACCAACAACAACAACAACAACAACAACAAAAAACAGAAGAATCTTCACAATTGATATCTCCATCCACAACTGAAACTGATCCATCTACAGAATCATTAATATTAACTGCATCACCATTATCTACTATTTCTACAATTGATCAAACCATAACACAACAACCATCGTTTAACGAATCATCATCATTATCCAATGAAGAAAGACATCAATTTATTACTGAATCTCGTAATATATTCGATATTACAGCCTTTGCGGAACTATTTGCGAAAATTTGTGGACACTTTTCACCTAATGATTTATTATCACTAGTGTTGGTTTGTCGAAAATTCAGAGAATATTTATGCAACCCCAATAACCGTGGTTTTTCTAGTAAAATTTGGAAAACATCAAGATTAAAATTTCTACGTTTCCTTCAAACACCTCCACCAATCCGAATGAGTGAAAAAGATTATATTGTGTTAAGACAATTAGACAAAGGATGTCAATTTTGTCGAAGTCAAGGAATTGGAATTGGAATTGGATTCATTAAAGTATACTGGGAATTTCGTGTGAGATGTTGTGAAATGTGTTTTGATAAAAGGACTACAAGGTAAATTTCAATAATTTTGATGAGAAATATTTTATTTGATATTATAGTATTTAACTTGTTTACCAATCTTTTTATTATTATATTTTTTTTTTTTTTTAAAAAAAAAAAAGACGAGACATACTTTATATTGATTGGACAATCCCAGACATAGTACTTCGCATTTTACCATATGTTAATCGTGGTGCAGCTCAAGTTTATTGGACAAATGATGTTATTGAAACAAACAAAAAGTATGATGAAATAATAAAAAGCGGTGGTGATGTAAAAAGTTGGGCTAATGATCAACAAGAAATTACGAAACAAATAATGTCCAATGTTGTTCACTATGAACAAGAAGAGCATGATGAACGTATTTATTCAATTAATGAAATACAACATGTGATAAACAGACATCCTCAAAGTATGTTTACGATGTTTTCAGCATTAAAATTGATAAAACTGATAAAATTGAACTAATTTTTATATCTATTCTTTTTATCCCTTTAGATTTCATACCTATGGGACTTACGAATCAAATGATGAGTCCAGTTAGTCCAGTTAGTCCAGTCAGTCCAATATCAAATCATTTAGTTAGTCCAATGAGTCCAATTAGTCCAATTAGTCCAATTAGTCCAATTTCATCAAATAATCATTTGATAAATCAGATAAATCCGGCGATGGTACAATTTAATCGAGGTCAATATTTAGTTCCAACTCAATTTGCCACTGGATCTGGATATAATCGATCACAATTTGTGATCACATCCCCTACCCAACAATTATATCCTACACAATTTGTTCCACGTATTAATCGACAAATGGTCCCACATTGGATGAGTCAAATGCAGCAATACCCTCGGTATTAAAAACGAGAAAAAAAAATAATATTTTTTGTAAATATCGTAAATGGCAACTTCATTTAAAATTGTATAATTTTTACATTAATATTCACTTGTGAATAAAATTCAATAAATACAAATAAATTCAATATTTCACTTTTCTTTTCTCTGTTAAATAATTGTAATTGATCTGATCTGTCTATATAAAGGAAACTCAATTTCATAAATAAATTTGATTTTATTCTAGTTTATTCTTTTGAGTATATTCCTTTCTGTCAACAATTCTTTTATGTTCTTTATACTTTATAAACTGTTTTACCTAATGAGAATTTGTGCATCGATAATTGAGAGAGTTTAGATAATGCTACATGTACATCGTATGGAAAGTAAACTACATCAAAGAGTAAAGAATCTGATCCATATCTACACTAATTACAAAACAAATTGTATAATTATAAACGAAAATCATTATTGCAAAACTCTGCAAAATACAAATTACAAAAAAAAAAAATGTTGGAATGACGATCATATGCTCATATATAGTCATAAGTGAAATTTGATTGGGCAGACTTCATGTGACATTTGATCAGCCAATATGCAATATGCAATATTCATCTTTCTTGTGATACCATTCTAGAATATACAATATATTTTTGATCATGACTATTTGAATCAAAAAAGGATTCTGATTTATTTTGATTTCATGAATATGAATTCTGATTTTTGTTCATTGGATCAGTAGATAATATAAACAATATAACGGTAATAAGCATTAATAATTAATTAAATAATTGAATTGGTAACTTAAAATAAATAACAAATTTGGTCATGAGATTTTTCCTAATTATAACATTAATGATTTTAGGTCCAAATAATTATTGTTTCAGCATTTCTAAATTAACAATACGAGCAATTCTTTGGAAAATAAGGTTGAGCGATATTTAAGTACACTAGAGCGTGCAGTGAAATTTTTCTTTTCATTAAGATTAATTTTATTTAAAATATTATAAAAATAAACTTTGATATAATAAAATATAAAAAATAAAGGAATAAAAAAACTAAATTAAGTAGTTTTCCTATTGACTTTGAAAACTTCATAATCAATAATTGAAAATTTTCCATATGTTCTAATTGGTTTTTCATGATTATTGTAATAATTCCAAGATCCAGAATTATTATCTATAGTAAAATTAGATTGATAACTCTGCAAATAAAGATAACCTCCTCCAAAATTAGGACCCACATTGCTTTGATTACCCTTTCCAGGATAAAAAAGTGCATTTTCGGGTTTCTTTACTCTACTAAGAATTGAATTTTGAATATTACCATTCTTCAATGAGAAAATAAAACTATCACTTGTTTGCATATAAACTTCATACTTTGTATTATCCCACATTAAAGGATTATAACCACCCAAAATTTCGTCTGTTCCTTTAACTTTTATAATAATTACTGTACCGGCGTGACCATGACACATGTTCCAAAATGTTTGAGGAGCAAATCCATCTTTATTTCCTCGTAAAATCAGCTGAAATTCATATGGATAATTTGTTAAAGAATAAGTAGTAGTTTTACGATCAATCCAAGAGGAAATTTCTGCTGCATGTTCATCGGAAATAATGGTTGAGAAAGGTTCTTTGGAGCGAACAGGCAATTCTTGAATTAAGATTGATCTTGCTGGTAAAATAACTGATTTTAGTGGTTGATTAGGAGAAATTAAATGTTTCATTAAATCTTTCCAGAGTTGCTTATCAAGAATTTTCTTATAAGGTTCGACTTTTTCCAAGATATCATCACCAGGAATATGAAAATAACGGATATGGGGTAAGCATTGTTGTAAAGTATTTTTTAAAGTTAAAAAATTCTCTTTATTCCACTCTTCAAGGTTTGTAGGTAAATTAGAATTCTGAGAAATTCCCCATTTAATAGTATATTCCCAAATTTTTGCTTCTTCCACTTGCAAATCATCTCGTTTGAGAAGAGATACTAATGCAGTTTCTTGAAGAGATGTAAAATTTTCAGCATCAAAAATAAGACTAGGATACTTTGTAATAATATCATTACAAAAATTTTCTAAATCTTTAAAGTTATTATTAGTAAAAATTGAATGATATACGAATGAAAAGTGTGTTTTTAACCAAGAAGATTTATCCTCAATAAGAGTAGTTTCTAGTCTTTTGGACAATTCTTCAAGTTTAAATTCATTAGCTGTTAACATTAAGTCAAAAATAATTCTTGTTTCAACATTTTTTAAATTAACAATACCACCATAAATATATCTATATAAAATAAATAATTATTAATAATTTATGTATCTCATTAAATAAAGTATGATAGTAGTTATAACTTACTTGAGAATAATTTCAATAATTTGAGATGAAATATTTTGTTTAATAATTGTTTTGACATTGTTTTCATTTGGGGTAATAGTATCCAATTCTTTACGAAAATATGGTGACCGACATTTAAGTACGTTAGAATGTGCCGTAAAAGTTTTTTCCTTATTTTCGACTTCGATGATTACATTATAATCATCTTTATCATTAAAAAGTTCGATAAAGTTTTGAGATAGCTTGTCAAAAAATTTTAATGACATTTTTGTTGTAAATGGCATCGGTTTTATAAATGAATTATATAACGTTATCATTCATTATTGTGTAACTTATAGAAGAATTTAACTTAATTTGGAATCAATGATGAATGCATATTTATACTGTATTACACGTATTAAGAACAATTGAAAGAAATTTTGTAACTAAGATTTTTATTTTTTACAACTTCATTCTTTTTAAAGTTAAAAGTCATGAAAATTTTTAAAGAGTAATAGAATAAATATAATCGTTAAATATTTTTAAAATATATGTAAATTTTTGCAAAGGAACAATTTGAATATATAATTTTTTTTTTTTTTGTTTTATTTAAAGATTAAATAAGTATAAATACAACTTTAATATAATAAAATATAAAAATTAAGTAATTTTCTTATTGATTTTGAAAACTTCATAATCAATAATTGAAAAATCTCCATTTGTTCTAATTTGTTTATCATATCTACCGTAATTCTAGGACCCAGATTTATTATATATAATAATAAAATCAGATCGAAAACTCCGCAAATAAAGATGACCTGCCCAAAATTAGGACCAATTATATTTTGATTAGTTTTTCCATTGTAATGAAGTGCATTTTCGGGTTTATTTACTCTACTAAGAATTGAATTTTGGATATTACCATTTTTCAATGAGAAAATAAAACTATCCCTCGTTTGCATAAAAACATAACTATTATTTGCATTATCCCACATTAAAGGATTATAACCACCTAAAATTTCGTCTGTTTCTTAACTTTTATAATAATTACTGTACTGGTGTGACCATGGCACATGTTCCAAAATTTTTGAGGAGCAAATCCATCTTTACTTCCTCGTAAAATCAGCTGAAATTCATATGGATAATTTGTTGAAGAATAAGTAGTAGTTTTACGATCAATCCAAGAGGAAATGTTCATCGGAAATAATGGTTGAGAAAGGTTCTTTGGAGCGAACAGGCAATTCTTGAATTAAGATTGATCTTGCTGATAAAATAACTGATTTCACTGTCCTGTTGGGAGATATTAAATGTTGTTTTAAATCTTTCCAAAATTGTTTGTCAAGAATTTTTTTGTAAGGTTCTACTTTGTCTAAAATGTCATCACCAGAGATATGGAAATATCTAATAAATGGTAAGCAATGTTAAAGAATAGTTTTTAAAGTTAAAAAGTTCTCCATGTTCCATTCATTAAGGTTTGTTAGTAAATTAGAATTCTGAGAAATTCCCCATTTGATAGTATATTCCCAAATTTTTGCTTCTTCTACTTGTAAATCATCTCGTTTGAGAAGAGATACCAATGCAGTTTCTTGAAGAGATGTAAAATTTTCAGCATCAAAAATAAGGCTAGGATACTTTGTAATAATATCATTGCAAAAATTTTCTAAATCTTTAAAGTTATTATTAGTAAAAATTGAACGATATACGAAAGAAAAGTGTGTTTTTAACCAAGAAGCTTTATCCTCAATAAGAGTAGTTTCTAGTCTTTTGGATAATTCTTCAAGTTTAAATTCATTAGCTGTTAACATTAAGTCAAAAATAATTCTTGTTTCAACATTTTCTAAACTAACAATACCACCATAAATATATCTATATAATTAAAATAATTAAATGATAATGATAATTTAAAATAATTAAATGATAATGATAAATTATTATTTGTTAAATTATAATATCAATTTTTAATTTTTAATTTTAATTTTTAAATAATGATGACTTACTTAAGAATAATATCAAAAATTTGAGCAGAAATGTCTGGTTTAATAATTGGTTTGTCATTGTTCTCATTTGGGGTAATGGTATCCAATTCTTTAAGAAAATATGATGACCGACATTTTAATACGTTAGAATGAGCCGTAAAAGTTTTTTCATTATTTTCGACTTCAATAATTACATTATAATCATCTTTATCATTAAGAAGTCCAATAAAATTTTGAGATATCTTGTCAAAAAATTTTTAATGACTTTTTTTTTGTATCTAACTATTTGACATTATTGTGTAACTCAGGAATTTTAATTTTTTATATATCTGATCTGATTAACAAGATGTATAAATAAGAAAAATGAAGAAAAAGTTGACGCGCAACCTGAGACTACGCGACCTACAGTTGAACCTGAGATTACGCGATCTTGGTTCACGAAAAATAATTTGTTGCCATTACTGGATGACATATTATACAACACAGTCACTTGGTGATTCCACTGACAGTTTTTTTTTTTGCCTATGATGATTTGCCGAGTATAAAGTTATTTTCGATTGTAAACATGTGTTTGCGTATATGTATCTTATGCAGTAATCGCATTAACTCAAAACAAGAGAATTTCAGACGTCGATATCATGTTGATCTAATATATTCCGCAATATCTCTTTGTTCTGATTCTTTTCCCATTTATAATTATTCCATTATACTGGGACTTTTATATTATAACAGACTATTTGTT